ATGGGAAGTAGTTTAAGACCTTTTAGACAACAAATGTAGTGGGAGTAATACCTTTAGAAGATATAGCTTAGGTTCGTAATTGTTAGGAGTTATCAGGACCTTCCTGGATAATAGGATTTAGCTTTCACATTCTTGGTAGAATAATTCAATTTAATACTCACCTCTGTACCCAGTCACCAAACTGGGGCAGGAAATGTTCTATGTTTTCTTTATTTGTCGCAGTCAGGAGCCCACCTGGAGAAAAAGTGAATACTTTCCAAGCGTTGCAGTCAGGAGCCCACCTGGAGAAAAAGGGAATATTTCAAATTTCGGCAGTCAGGAGCCCACCTGGAGAACGAGGGAAGAACAATTTTAGCTTTTAATTTTTAATATTTGATAACATGCCGTACCCAGTCACCAAACTGGGGCAGAAAATTTTCTTTGCTTGTTTTGTTGCAGTCAGGAGCCCACCTGGAGAACAAGGGAATGCTTTTCAAGTTCAACAATCAGGAGCCCACCTGGAGAACAAGGGAATACTTTTCAAGTTTCAGCAGTCAGGAGCCCACCTGGAGAACAAGGGAAGTACAATTCCAATTTTAGCTTTTAATATTTGATAACATGCTGTACCTAGTCACCAAACTAGGGCAGAAAATTTTCTTTGTTTGTTTTGCTGCAGTCAGGAGCCAACCTGGAGAACAAGGGAATGCTTTTCAAGTTCAGCAATTAGGAGCCCACCTGGAGAACAAGGGAATACTTTTCAGGCTTCAGCAATCAGGAGCCCGCCTGGAGAACAAAGGCATACATTTCAAGTTTCAGCAGTCAGGAGCCCGCCTGGAGAACAGAGGTATTACAATTCAAGTTTTAGTTTTCAAATTCTTATTAATATCTGGTAATATGATGCCCAGTCACCAAACTGGGGCAAGAGATTTTCTTTGTTTTTGTCTATTTTTTTGAAGTCAGGAGCCCGCCAAGAGAACAGAGGCACACATTTCAAGTTTCAGCAGTCAGGAGCCCGCCTGGAGAACAGAGGCATACATTTCAAGTTTCAGAAGTCAGGAGCCCGCCGGGAGAACAGAGGCATACGTTTCAAGTTTCAGCAGTCAGGAGCCCGCCTGGAGAAGAGAGGACTACATTTCAAGTTTCAGCAGTCAGGAGTCCGCCTGGAGAACAGAGGACTACATTTCAAGTTTTAGCGGTCAAAGCATCACTTGGGGAAAGGGAGAACACTTCAGAATGCAACTCAAGGCAGCAACAAAAGATATCATCGGGAGAATACAAGTCAACAAGGCAACAAGAACCACAAAACAAGTTTAAAAATATAGATAGGATTTTTGTAAAGCATAGATCATGAGTCTAGTCTAGCTTCTTTTTATCTTTGACATGGTGTAATAAGGGGGTTCAGTAAGCAGTAGCAGCAGCAGCAGCAACAGTGAAATCACAGCTTCATGGTAGTCCCAGCTACCAGACCTTCCCGAACTACACTAACCTGATTTCTTTTTAGCCAAGGATATGTAGGCAACCTCAGAAGCAGGGTGCGGTCAACTCTTTCAAAAATGCTTCACACGGAGTATTCAAACGGGCAAAAATCGCTCGTATCCGCTCACTTTATCTTTGCACGAAAACTCTTCGTGTTTCCGAGCAAAGAGGGGCAGCTGTGAGCATGTGATTTTTGCCCTATATGAATTACTCCCAGAAATTCAAACAAAATAATTTCTTTCATTATTTTGCAATTTTGTAGATTTTTGCAGCATTTTTGTCGATTATTTGCATTTGTCTGTGCACGTTTATTTTATTTAATTCATGAAATACAAAAAATATGTTGCATTGGCATTTAGGATTTAATTTGGCTTTTTGGAATTAGTTACTAATTTAGTTGTGTTACAAAAATAGAAAATCACAAAAAGTAACTCATTTTGCATTTAGCTTCGAATCTTGCAGTTTTCTTTTAATTTGTAGTAATTAG